GGGGCACCCGGAGGGCCCCGCTCTGGGGGAGTGGGGGCTGAGATGCCCAGTTGGGCACAGGAAGACAGGTGGGCACCAACAGGGGAAGCCTGCAGTCCGCCATTCTAGGCAGAGGTCGGCCTGCAAAGAAGCTGGCTCTTCATCTGGGGGGGCAGTCCCCACCAACCCCTTCTTCTAGACCCCAGTTGGCCGCTCTCCCGCTCAGCCCCTCCTCCCTGCCTCCCCCAGTCAGCTGGCAGACTGTGCCTCTCACTGGGCTTCACTTTGCATTTTTAAAGGCTGGTGCTGGGATTCCTGGAGTCAGTTGGGGGAATGTTTCTGGATGGGGAGTCCCACAGTTCCACAAACCATGACACATCGGGGACCCCCTGAGGTCCCCCCCAAGCCAAGTGGGCTTCCTTTGTTCTTTCCATCAGGAAGTAGTTATCTGTGCCTCCCCTGCACCAGGCACTGCGGTCGCTCGGTGCTGTGGGTACAACAATAAGCTGGGAAAGAATGAATCCGCCCTCAGGACATCTGCAGTCCAGTGGGAGAGATGGCCAAGTCCTTCAGAGATCTCTGTGTCCCTTCTGCCCCCTTCTCCTCAGCCTCCCCCTCCCACCACCCCACTGCTGGCTGCAGGGCAGCGGCTCCAGAGCCGCGTTTTGATCCTGCCAGGTGGCAGGCCACTCCAGCCCGCCTGCCCACCAGTGCCCCTACCTGGCAAGGAGCCTGCGCCTGCCCTGGGGTCCCAGCTGCCAGGCCACGAGTGGGTGCAGAGGCTCGGATGAAAGGGGGAGACCTCCCCTGTGGCTTCTGCTCTCTGGTTGTGCCTCAAGCCAGTGGCCTGGTAGTCTATGAAGCAGCCTACTTCTAAGCTCTCCCGCTTCTGGGCATAAAAGCGCCAGTCAGGGCTGCTGTGCCCGAGTGGGCAGAGTCCCCTCAGGAGAAGCCTTGTAGCCAGTGCTGAAAGGCCTTTGATGTGGCCCCCTCCCCTCTCCTTGACTGTATTCTTCCTTTCTGTCAAAGTCCTACCTCTCCTTCCCAACAGGTCCTCCCGCTTCCACAAAGCCCAAGTTCAGCCCCCAAAGGTAGGGGGCTCTGCTTCTCTACGCTTCCACGCTCTTGCTTATGAAATGGGGGCATCTCACCCTGCCTGCGTCAGCACACGGTTGGAAGTACAGTGAGACTGTGGGTAAGACAGGAGCTATGTATGTTCCCGGCGCTGCTCTAGGAGCTCTGTGCTTATTCCCTCACTTAGTCTTCCCAACCAACCTCTGAGGGACATATTAGAGTATCTCCATTTTACAGATGTGCACACAGATGCTCAGAGCAGATGCACAAAGACACACAGCAAACGAGTAGCAGAGGCAAAATTTAAATGCAGGTCTGTGTGCCTCGCCGACTACCCCAAACTGCCCCCAAAGCCGCTTATAAATAAGGAAATGCTGTACAGACTCAAGAGCATTATTATCATCCCAACTGCCATGGTCCCTTCAGGCACACCTTCACGCCACTCCCCCCAGCTCTGTCTGAAAGCAGAAGGCTGACCCCATCCCCGGATGCAGGTCCTGGAATTACTTAACCCCAGCTCTGGGATTCCAGCTCCCCACAAGATCCTTCTGAACTTGGTGCTCCCCCACCCACAACCCCTCCTGAACTCACCAGCTACCTCTGTCTGGCCCTGGGATCCGGGAGCTGGTGTCAAGAAGAGGTCTGCAGACGTGAGAGAGAGAGGCCAGGAAGAGAGGGGCAAGCCTGGCCAGGGCCGGGAGATGGTTGGGCCCTGCTCCTTGCTGGCTGGCATTGGACCGGCCTGGGAGTGGAGGATCAGAGCAGGGCAGTGATGCGCAGCTGCTGGCCAGGGGAAGCCAGCCTGATGTCTAATCAGATCAGATGCCCCTGCCCTCAACCCCCGCCCTCGCCCATTCCTCTACCTCCCTCTGTCACTCACTGACCTCCCCCCTTGCTTCCCAGCCCTGCCCTCCCTGAGGTCTCCAGCTGCCCCAGCTGATTTTATAAATGGCCCTTGCAGGAGGTGGGCACCTTGGCTAATTGAATCAGTGCCTAGGAGGCAGGAGGCTGGTTAGCATCACAGCTGAAAGGTGATGGCAGCAACAGCTTGAGTGTGACCATTAGGGAGGAGTCTAAGTGAGCAGAGAGGCCCAGGCAATCTGGACTTCCATATATTCCGAGGTGTCAAGGTGGGAACTCACCAGGGGGGCCCTGGATGCCCCCACCATGAGCCCAGAGCAGACTCACAGGGTAGACCACAGGCCAAAACACACATGCACACACATACCACTCATGCTCTCGGCAAAAAGAAAATATAAGGAGGGCAAGAGAGAGAGCAGAAACAGGAAGAATGATATAGTGCGCTCGCTCGTGTACCTGTGCACCTACGTGACTCTGTACACATCTCTGCTGGGCACCACTCATGAGGCCATTCTTCCCTGCCCCAATGTCACCTCTGCATAATGATCAGCCAGTAAAAGCAGTTTCTAAGTGTCCCGGTCACAGCAGAGCATCTCATGGCATCAACAGCTGCCAGGGAGCAGACCCCAGTGCCACAAGGACCTTTCCTGGAGACCTGTCACTTGCTCCCCTGGAGACCAGTCTGTTCCCTTACCTATGAATTTGCCTCTGACAGCCAGGCTGGCACAGGAACACTTCAAGGAAGGCTTTACCTCTGTGTTTCTGTTTGAGATGGATCCCTAAGGCTCACCCGGCCATTAGTCCATTCAGTCAGCATCCCCGGCACAGCCACTCTGCGTGTGGGCTGCACGAGGGCAGGGGATGGGTCTGTGTGTCTCCCCCAGCTCCCCGGCTCTGGGCGGGGTGGGGACGCGGCAGGGAGGACCTCGGCGACAGTGTGGTTGTGGCTGGCTGCCCTGGCACTCTCTGTAGGATGACCCACCCACCTGGTCACATCTCCGGACGGAGAGGGACACCGATGGCATGGTCATTGTCCTTAACAGCTGCCTCAAGGACTTTCATTACCCCTCCCAACTTCCCCAAATGCTCCACTTCCCCTGCCCTCCCGCCCTCACACCACCTTTCCCTAGGGCCCCATCTACCACTTCCCTTTAGAGCAAAGAACAGAAGAACTCCGAAGTCCCTGGATCTCCAAGGAGAGGAAAGTGGGGAGGAGGGGGCCATTTTCAGCTTAGGGGCCCCCACCGCTAGGAGGCAGGGTCCGCAGGGCTCCAAGTGGGATTTGAGCATCCGAAGGAGCAGGCGCCCACACGCCAATTCCTTGGGTTATCTTCCATTCTTGAGCAAACACGGAAGTTCCCTGTCAGGGCCAAGCCCCCACATCTGGCTGCCGCTAAGCCCCCAGTGGTCTTTTCTACAGGCTAAGACTGCCCCCTGCCGGGATGAGCCAAGACGTCCACCTCAAATGCCGCCTGAGGAAATCAGAACTGTGGCATCCCGGCTTAGGGGTCCCCCAGCTCCTGTCCCGGCCTGGGGAGGGGAATGACGGAAGCCCTTAGAGGCCTCGGCCTTCCTGCTTCCGCTGTATTCTGAGACTGGGACTGGACGGTGGCAACAGGGACAGCCCTTTGGCCCAGACAAAAAAGGCAGGGCTCTGTCTCTGGCCTGCTCACCCGTTGCCTCAACTTCCCTTGACAAGGGGCAAAGGCCTGGTTTGAGATAAAACATCGATCACAACACACCCACACCGGAGAGGCTCTGTCTCACTTCCCTCCTGAGCTCTGGCGCCCTTTTCCAGCTGCTTTTAGGACTCTCCTGGGCTGGATACAATAAAGCCATCTTAACCTCTACATGTCAGAAACCAAGCTCACCTTCTTCACCAAACCTGAATCTTTACAGAAACTCCATTTCTCGGCGTTCCATGCCCAATATGACTCCAAGATCTGCAGGCCCAATCTCGACATCTTTTGAGTCCATTCTTTTCTGAATTTCTCCTTCCAAGGCAGCCTCAAATCATTCCTAACCCCAGTCCCATTTTCCACAGCGCTGGTGGGGTTATTGCCCTAACGCACGGCTCTTCTGGGATTCTGCTCAAAAGCCTCGTCGTGCCTCCTTCCTCTCGAATCCCTCCTTCCACAACATGGTTGGAAGCTGCCTTCCCAACAAGATGGCTGCATGTTCCCTCCACTCTGAACATGGAACTCCTGCCTGAGCACCTACATACCCCCACGCATCCTCACTTTTCTGCCCATGATGCTCTCTTCGCACACTCCTTTAGTCTTCATCAAATTCCTTCCCACCCTTGGAGATCCACCTTCCAGATGAAGTCTTTCTTCATATGTCCCATGATAAACAGCTGCCTCCTCTGGCCCCCAGGACCCTGATTCCCCTCTTGTGGCACTAATGCCCCCCTCTTGTAATAGACACCTGTGTCCTTGTCTCAGGCCCCTCTGGGCTGTCAGCATCTTGAGGCCAGGGCCGTCTAGAGCCTGACAATGCTCCATAATATTGGCTGAATTGGTTGGTAGCAGAAGTGTACTGACATGACATGGCATAATACTGACATGGACTGAAAGCAGGTTTTGATGAGAGGGAAGGGTACAGGACATAGAGGCTGACCTGTAGGGAAGTGGGATACTGAGGGCCTATGGAGAATGACAAAGCAGGAAGAGGTCTCAGAGCCTACATGGTGGACAAAGAAGGCAAGCCTTAGGAAGGCAAGGGATCGATCCGGGGCCACACAGCTCCTTAGTCCCACTTCTAGTGCATAAGAGGCTCAGTGATTGCCAACTTTTTCCCACCCTCCAGTACAGCTCTTCGCATATATGCCCTGCTTCCCCACTATTTTCCTGGGGTTGACCCTCAGCTAGCAAAAGGTTAGAGATGCTTGAACAACCTTCCCAAGCTGTCCTGACTTTCACAGACCTGCTACTCTGTGGACAAATGCTTGGGACCCAGCCTAGGCTCAGAGCAGATCTTGCTGCTGAGACAGGAAGTATCAATGGTGGCCAGTTTAAGCATTCTTCCCCAGGAGGGCTGTGGCTGTCCCATCCCATCCCCGCCCCACAGCACCGATGCCACACAAAAATATTCCAGAAATGTTTAATGCCACAGAGAAACCCAAAACCTACAGAAAGCGACAGCCATCCTCCCGGGTGCCTGGAGCCAGGGCTATCCCCAGCAGGCAGGAGGCCTGCACAAGCCAAGGAACCAGGGCAATTTGCTGACATCCTTTTGGCCTCTCCCCTAAATGCCCAAGGTTCCTTTAGGCCGGGGAAAGAAAGAAGAGGAAGTGGGAAGGGGTAGGAGGAGGGTGTGTCGCTTTCAGGCACTCTTCCTGCATTAGGATGGTGACTCACGCAGCAGGCCCTGGGCGGGACAATTCCTCAGACCAGACTAAGGTAGGCCAAGCCCAGGGTTCCGGAAGAAGCAGAGGGAAATTCCTGGAATGCAGCAGCCGGGAGGAGTAACCAGCAGAAACTAGATGGAAGGCCTGCTGCCATCCTCCGGCTCCTTCTCACGGGCCTCTGACGCCACCCCCAGGGGGGACAGGCAGGCTTCAGCACCCACAGGCTTCAGCACCCGTATTTGATAAGGTTCACGCCTTCTCCACTCCCGTCACTTTGGGCCTTTCTTAAGAATGACATTGTCATACTCAGTTCCCTGTGGCCACCCAGAGGCAGAGAAGTCCTGCCCTGCTGGATAGACATGCTGGAGGCTGCCAGGGTCCCTGTCAGCTGTGGCCTGCCTCCTCCAGGCCTCACCCTGGGGCTCCTGTGGGCTGTCATATAGGGACAGGACAGCCACTCCCTCAGGCTCATCATATATGTGGTCAGGTCGCGGGGGTGGGTGCTCCTCAATGCTGTCATATAGAGGGTCCGCAGAGGGCTGGGGAGGGACCGCCAGGATGCCCCTCAAGCTCTTCCCCAGGTTACGGGCCACTGCATCAAAGGGCACTGCATACTCCCCCTCTGGGCCCCGTGGCCGGGCGGTGGGCACTGGAGTGGAGGGCGACGGAGGTGGCAGTGAATCGTGGGGCCGGGAGTAGGGGCTTTCTGGCCGGGGCAGCACCGCAGGGACTGTGGCTGGCTGGGTTTGGGGCCCAGGAGGGGTGCTGTTCTTCTGGGCAGAAATGGCTTCTTCCAGGGCCAAGAAGATCTCGTTGCCTTGCCGAGTTTCGAACTCAAAGCTGCCTTCTCCAGAGACGCAGCGCCGGCCTGCCTCGAAGGAAAAGGTTACCTGGGCGGAGGGGAAAGGGAGATTATTAGCCAGGCCCCAGGATGGGGTTGCTTCCCCTGGACCCAGCTCCTAAACACAAACCTGTCACCTCCAGCTTCCCTCCACAGGAACTGGGGGAGTTTCTCCCCAAGCTGGTTCTCCTCCCTCTGGGTTTTTTCCTTAACAAGCAAAGCCCTCACTCTTCTGCCTTCCTTCTCCCTCCCATCCAGCCAAGTACGGAGCCCGGTATATATCCAACCTCAGGAATGCCAGCCACCATTTACCCCTCCGACCACTTGACCTCTCCCTGTTCTCCCGTCCTTCCAGCTCACCTCACTCTCCCACCCCCACCTCCACCCTCTGGCTCTCTCCCCACTAGCTGTTTTTCTTCTGCTGGCTTTTATCTCTGTCTTTCCTTCCTCCTCCAATTCTCTCCTGCTCTGAGGGCCCCTTTGCCCTCTCGCTGACAATCTCTTCCCTCACAGCTCTCCTTTCTTTCAACCTGCCCTGTGGCGGCCCCTGCTCACCTTGTCCCGCCCAAAGCGCCTCAGAAACCTGTAGGGCCACTCAAACAGCTGGGTGCCCAGCTCAGGGCCACTCCACAGCTCCAGGGCAGTCTCCCCAGCCCGGAGGGTATAGGATCCCCGGAGCCGGCACCTCTCACTGGCTTCTGTGGGTCTCATGGTCACAGCAAACTCCTTGCGGGGGGCTATTGGGGAGCAGAGGGGAGAAAGCAGTTAGTGGGAAACAGCTGGCTTGCCTCAACTCTGCCCTGCTCTGAATGAGTGTGCCAGAGGCCTCCAGAAAAAGCATTAGCCATGTGCCCATGACCCCACAGCCTGTATCTTGAAGGCTGAGCTGCCCTAGGACAGGTGATACTCCCCAAAATGCCACATACCTCCACCCCCTCCCCTAGTCGGCATCATGCCCTAGCCACACACACCCCGACCTTGTGCCCACATCCTTCCTGCCCCTGTTGCCAGAGCCACAGCCTTGTCTTCTCCATCTAATCTTCCCCCCGACGCAGCCACCTCCCCAAGTCCTACTGTCATGGCTGCAGGTGCAGCCGACCCTGCCCTCCCAGCTCTCAGCCTACCCACCCACTGCTGACACCACCCAGTGCCCTCTGTGAGGTGGGGCTTGAATGTCACCCTGTGTCCATCTGCTCCCTCCACACACCCAACCCAGTGGGCTAGACATCACAAAAAGGGATTGCCTTGTCAGCAGAAAGCTCCCTTGCCACAGGACACCTTAAATGCACAGAAGCAAAACCATTCTCTTCTCAGACAGAGAAGGACACAGAGTCCAAGAGCAGCACCTTCACTGAACCCCCCCAGCCTGGCCCTCTCCCAGCAGCAGGGCCCGGGCAAGAGGGAGTGAGTGCAGGGCAGGCCTGGCTCCCCCACCTCGGGCCTCTCCCGGAAGCGATGCAGAGAGGCTGATAAGGGGGCTGGCCGGGACTGGGGGCAACCACAGGGCAGGAAGACTCAAACGCGGCTGTCGCCCACAGCCCCACCCCACCACAGCCCTGGGGAGGCCAACCCCCGGAGAAGAAGCAGCCCCTCACCTGCAGTCGTGCTGCTATACAGTTCATTCTCCTCCATGCAGGGCCGTCTGCCCTTCCCCCCGGGCCCCAGCAGCTCCTTCCTCTGGCCCTGAGGAAGACGCCAGGGTCTCACCACTGGCCCCCATGCCCAGCCCCACCTCCGGCCCAGGCCTTCCTCCAGAGCACACTCAGCTTGCTGTCCCTGTCCACATGCTGCAATGGGGTCCCCCCCCCCCGACACAAGGAACCGCCCCCAGCATCCTGAGCTTGGCTCTTATAACACCTGCCCACAGCAAGTACTGAGTGCCCCCCTCCCACATGCCATGCCCCCTCGCCCTTTCTGCACCCGTGGATGGCTCACAGGGAAGGCCAAGAGGCAGATGGCCTGGATCCAGTCACTGCGCTCTGCAGCAGGGGCTGCCAGCAGGTACAGGCGCTCCTTGGTCTCCAGGAAGAAGGCGCTGGTGTCCCGGGGGCTGCTGGCCTCCCCGCCGGCCTCAGCCACACGTAGGCAGTCACTGAGGCGGATCACCCTCCTGGCAGCCTCTCCCCGGCGTGGCTTCTCTGGGCCCTCCTGGAGCTCCAGCCGGGCCAAGGCGCAGTCTGACTCTCCATACAGCACAGCCCCAAACCGGCGCCATTTCTGAGTCCAGATGCATGGCAGGTGGGGTGCCGAGAGGGAGCCACCGAGAAATGGAGAGATGGTGACCAAAGGGGAGAGGAGGAAGCATGGGAGAGGTAATGGGGCAGCATTCAGGGACAAGGAGAGAGGCAAAGATCACAGGAGACCCAAGGAGTCAGAGAGAATAGCAGGGACCTTAGCAATTAGAAATCGTTGGAGATCTGCCCCCCACAACCAAGGAAGAGGCAGTGACAGCAGGTGGAATGCCGAAGGCAGAAGGGCACAATGGTGAGCCCATGGAGGCAGACTGCAAGGCAGGCCCAGCCAAGATCCAAGTCAAAGGGCAAAGATCCTATGAGTCCCTGAAGCCCAGAGGAGGGATGAGAGGGCGGTACGAGGGCCCTGACCAGAGACCATGGTTCTCGCTCTGTGTGAGGTCCCACAGAAGCCCCCAGGCCAGGAACTTCAGTCCACCCTCTTGAACCTTCCTGCTTCATCCCTTGACAGGTTGGGTCATGAGAGAGACAGAGAAGTCCTGGTGTGAATCAGCTGAGGGAAAGAGGACTTCCTCATTTAAGGAGGCCAAAGAAGGAAAAGGAGGCTGGCCACGGAGACCCCCGCTCAAGCTTGGCACCAGCCAAAGTCACCCCACCAGAGCAGGAAAGGGAGAAGGAACCCCACTGCAACCCCGAATTATCCCCTCTGCTGCTCCTTCTCTTCCCTTCCCTTCCCTTCCCTTCCCGAGCATCCCCGTGACAAGTTAACCACAGAGCCAAAGAGGCAAGAAATGGAGTTAGAGCCCTCCTTTACCCCCCTCCCTGTTGGCCAACAGAACAGCCGTCTGAAAACAGCACAGTCTGGGGCCTGGATGGGGAAGCAAGCAGCTGCTGAGGAAAGACCCCTCCCGAGCTTGAGCTCTGGGTCTAACATGGTGGGTGGCACAGTGCCTATCTTCCCACAAGGGTTTTGAAACATTCGGGGGGGGGGCCTCCTCCTCCCCAGGGATTTCTAGCAGCCCCCCAGGCCCTCTGCCCAGTCCCAGCACAGTCTTGCTCTTACCTTTCCAAAAGTCTGCTGCTGCAGCAGGTGTAGGAAGCCCTGTTTCACTGCCACTTCTTCCATCCTCCCACCGTGCCGGCACCCCAGCCCTTCAGCTCTCTCCTTCCACTCCAGCCCTCTTTTTCTCCTCCTTGCTGTGTGTTCCCCCTTCTCTCAAGTTAATTTCCTCTCTGCCTAGAGTTTTCTGCACTGTTCTCGTCTGCTTGATGACGACAAACCGATGGGCCCTGTGGTTTCTTGCTCCGTGTGTGTGTGTGTGTGTGTGTGTGTGTGTGTGTGTGTGTGTGTGTGTGTGTGTTTGACGAGAGTTTCATGCACAAGCTTCCTGCATTTTCACTGAGTAAGATAATTTCTGAAAAGCTAATTTCCAGTTTTTCGGCCAGCAACAACTCAAGTACAGAAGCTGGCCGAGGAGTCACCGAACAAGGGAATGGCTGACCTAGAGCAACAGAGAGACCCAGAACCAAATTCAACAATAAAACCAATAGCAAAAGGCCCTCATATTCAAGTGGGATGCTCAGCATGACACAGTTGGAAGAGAACTTAAAAATCAACCAGACTAACTCCTTAATTCAAAAATGAGTAGACTGGGGGCGCCTGGGTGGCTCAAGTCGGCTAAGGGTCCAACTCTTGATTTTGGCCCGGGTCATGATCTCAAGGTCTTGAGATGGAGCCCCGTGGTCATGGTCATCGGGCTCCACACTCAGCAGGGAGCTTGTCCCTCTTCCCATACCCCTCCCTCTGCTGACTCGAGAGCTCTCTCTCTCTAAAATAAGTAAATAAACCTTTTAAAAAATAAAATAAAATAAAAATGAATAGACTGAGGCTCAGGAAGATCTGAGGGACATGTTCAAGGCCACCAAACCGGAACCCAGGTCTCTTAGCTCAGTAAGAGCTAAGCCACACATACACATGCCCAGCATACAGAACACATCAGACAGAGCTCACCACTTTCACACACAGCTGCAACTGTGTTTCATTCCAAGAGGAGCACTCCCTGCCCCAGACAACTGCACACACACACAGCACCCTCTTGGGATTCTAGAAACATGAACATCCCCACACTGAAACATGCTATATTCCCAGAGCACATCCAAACCGTTGGAGTTCACCTTCTTTCCAGCCTTTGTGAGCATTATAAAGGCACTAGAGTTTCATCTGTGGATTATCTTTTTAAGTTGCAATAGCAATCTCTTTTTTAAAAAAATCAAAAAAGGCTTCATAGTTGCCAAAACAGAAGTACTCCTTAGTTACTAGAGCTTCCAGGCACACAATGTCACCAGCCATACTATCTATCACCAGCCATACTATCTATCCCTGGAAAAGGGGAATGCAGGTATGAACCCACCTGTTTGCAACTCTCCTGAGGTCACAGGGCTGGTGGGGACAGGAGAAAAGTACCAGGGCTCCGGATTTTTTAAAAAGATTTTATTTATTTATTTATTTATTTGAGAGAGAGTACAGGAGAGAGCATGAGGGGGGGAGGCAGAGGGAGAGGCAGGAGCAGACTCCCCACTGAGCAGAGAACCCAGTGCCAGCTGGATCCCAGGACCCAGGGATCATGACCTGAGCTGAAGGCAGACATTTAACTGACTGAGCCACCCAGGTGCCCCAGGGCTCCTGATTTTTAACTCAATGGTCTTTTTATTGTTGGCCCCTAAATGCAATCCCGACTCCATGCAAGAAAATACATTGCTTTGGGGAAATCTAAGGTCCCCAGAAAATATTTAACTTAGAGCCAGATGGTTTAGGGAAGCAATCTGATGGAGGCATGGTGCAGAAATTTTGGGGAACCAGAGAATTAGACAAGCACTCTTGGGGTAACCCCATAATGGGTGCTTATATAACTGGGCCATTTCCTCTACCACAGGGGTTTGTTTGCCTTGGGAAGGAGAGCAGAGCAGTGTACTGCTCAGGCCATCTGCTGTATATGCCGTGTGCTTTACCAAAACAGCTTTAAAAGATGGATGTTATGAGCTCTGGGAGGAAAGGGCTGAGTCACGTAAAGCTCACGGCACTCAGCCCTGCTGCCTGGATTTGAACAGGTTGTTCCAGAGATCAAGGGAAAACCAAGGATGCTGGTGTGTGAAAAGCTCCTTGGGAAGTGGTTAGGAGTATGGAAATGGGGAAGGGTCTATTCTGTCTCTTTAGTCCCGAAGGAGAGGCAATGCTACCTGGGAGCTGTTTGGTCTTTGGCCATCAGCATCTACTTATGGAGTGAGAAGAGGAGAGCTTTTAGGGTCATCCTGGAGGCTGCCAGAACAATGCCTTTCCAACATTAATGTGAAGATCCTGTTAAAAGTGCAGATTCTGATACAGCAGGTCTGGAGTGAGACCAGAGATGCTGATAGTGCTGGCACGTGGGCCAGACCTCAGTTTGAGAAGCAGAAAAATAGAAAATATCCCCCGCCCCCATTACTCTGATTGCCTTTCCCTAAGGCAAATTGGACACATTCCACTCGGAACCACAGGGGGGCACCCGAGCTTACCAGATTACTTGAAAGTTATTTCTACCCGGAGTCCTGGGCCCCAGGTATTCCAGACAACCACCTGCCATCCCTTGCCTCTGGTAGCTGGAAAAATTCTGTGGCTGTTGTCTGCAGATGGAACAGCAGGAATGTACTATGAGCAACACACTTTAAAGGCCTCCACTTTCCCTGGCAGGCCTTGCGAGATCCCTGCGGTAGAAGTACTAATTCCAGTACCTTCCGTCTGGCCACAGGCAAATCCTGTGAGCAGAGACCAGAAGACATAGCTCCAAGACACAGCAGAGGGGTCTTGGAGGTGTGTTCTTTAGGTTGCCCAGGCACCGATGATGGGAAGAGAAAGCATCCTAAAGGGAAGAGTCCCAGTGGTTTATACTGAGACACAAGTGGGGTTTGGAGTGCTCTTTGGTTTCTCTTTGCTTTTATTGGAAAGGAAGGGACATACCACACCTCACCTGTGCTTCAGTGTAAGCCAGGGGATCCTTTCATTTACACCGGTTTCTCTCAACAGGAGTTAGGAACCATGCAGGCCAGAGAACACAGCTCCAAGAGCTTTGCAACTTTTTGTTATTATTCTCACCAGTGATTAGCAACTAAATCCTTAACACAAAAGGGCTTGTGAGCTTGTCTTTGGGGGCCATAAAGGAAGGAGCAGAGACTGTGTCTGATTCCTTGGGCAGACTTGGAGATCAGGTGACCCCCAAGCGACGGACAGATGGAGCACCTACCCCAGCGGTAGCACTGGGCACACAACAGAAAAGACGGTTTACAATGGGCATGGAGCTGGTGTGGGCCTGAGAAGGATGGAGAACTGAGGAAAGAGATACGTGACCTGGGGTCATAAACATCCTCCCCTGCTTCCCCCCAACCCAGTGGCTCCTGACTGTGGAGGAGGGAGCACAACACCAGTCTCTTGAGTTTTGTTTCCAGTCTCACCCTTTCTCCATTAAGTATTTCACTTCTACCAGTACAAGGAAGGAGAGACCCAGTGCTTGAAGCTGAGAAGAGCTTATAATAGAACGTAATAATTGTGTTACTTAACATTGACATAACATTCCAAATGCTTTATGTTCTCATATGAACCCACACACACTATAGAATGAGACAGAGAAATAAATAAGTTAATTAACTCAGAAATTATTTACTGAGCATCTACTCGGTACAGAGGGACTAGGGACACAGCATAAAGAAGACAGAAAGTTGTTACTTTCTAATTGGAGACACTGACAGTGAAAAGAGTATGCAAGTAAATAGCTTTGGACAGTGATCAATGCTGTAAGTATGGCAGGGATGGGGTGGTACCATTTACTGATAAAGGGAGGATGGAGGGAGAACCAAGCGTGGGGAGGAGGATTGGTGGAGGGCCTGGACCACAGAGAGCTGTTACTCCCACCCAATCAGGCAAGTAATGAATTGGAAGACTGCCACTGCAGTTGTGACTCCAAGAATATACCGCTGGAGCTGCTATGCCTGCCAAGGTCAGGAAGCCCCTGACTCACCATCCCCGCTCAATACATTCAGGGAGCTTATGATTGGACACGGGAAAACAAAACACAGCACAACACAACATTCCAGGGGTGAGGCTTGCCAGAAGCAACAGTCAAAAGCTTCTGCTTCACTTCTGCCTCCAAAATCTTCTCCCAATGAATCTAATCAGCAGAGGCAATCTTGCATACAGAACCCTAGCTGCAAGGAAGTCTGGGTAATGTAGTTTTTAGGTGTCCTACGTCCGCAAACCAGAAAGAAACACTAGGAGGACCCAGGTCGAAATGAATGCTGAGCACCAGTCCACTCAATCCACAACAGAAATTCACTACCACCTTCATTTCCATTGCAGGTGATAGCCCCCAGTCAATATAAACTTCAAACAACCAATACTCTCAGAATCCAGCGAAAATTTAATCTGGGGGCCTTGATTGGAAGCAAGAGTGAAATCCAACGGAAAACAAAAACCAGCATTATCTAACACTGATAATTCCTAGTGGAAAAGATTGGAATTGGCCTCAGCGGGCAGGGACTGACCTGATCTGACCCAGGGGCTTGACTATCCCAGTAAGACTGAGTCCAGGGGTCCTAAAACCCCTTTATCTCACCCCCCCAACCACCTTTCCCAGCATCTGACCCCTCTCAGGAGGCAGCGTAGAGTACTGATTACGATAATAATCTAATTGTGAAGATTGGAACAGTGCCTTCTGCGTGTTTCAATTGTCACCACTATTTGGCGGCTATTCCCATGAACGTTTCTGGAGGAGAAAAGGACAGACACGAAAACAGGGAGATCACTATTCAGGTTGCTGGTAAAACGCAGGATCAGAGAGCAGTGGCCCTTATCCACTGGAGCAGAGAGCTAGAAAGACACAAAATAAATTCGGTCGACGTCGGCAGTTCATTGGAAAGTAAAGAATAATACAGACATCCTAAGTAGGGGAGTGGGGGTGGATACCAGCGGTGGGCGCAGGGAAGACCGTTCGGAGGTGTGATGTAACAGCAGTTGCACGGTGGGGGTGC